AGCTGGCCGGCGGTCCTCGTGCCAGCCGTGGAAACAGACTGAGGCGACCGTCAGGATGTTTCTCTCTCCTAAGAGAGAGAGAAACAAACTTCAAATACCGCTGTGCAAAAAGGGATGTTTTCTTGTGAAAGAGCGTGCTCAGAGCTGACAATGTAAGCATTGTTTTCATCATGCTGTGAACGCTGGCTGGAAAGAAAGAATGCTTGTGAGCACAGATACGTGGTATGCCCTGTGCCCGGGGTTACCAGAGCTCCAGACCAGTCCCTGGGCACCTCCCCAGAGCACCAGCTGGTAATAATAAGAAATGTTTCCTGTGACAGCCGGGGAGCGGGCATTAGCTGTGTCCCAGGAGGAAAGAGGTTCCCACTTTTTAAAATACTGAAGAGGCTGGGATGCACTGGGCTGGGGAGGGGACCGAGCGGGCTGCCTTGACCGTGTGTCTCCTGCAGGCCATCGAGATGGAGCTGCGCCAGATGGAGGTGCAGCAGGCCAACCGGCACGTCTCCCTCCTCACCTCCTTCATGCCCGACAGCTTCCTGCGCCACGGAGGGGACCATGACTGCATCCTGGTGCTGCTGCTCATCCCTCGGCTCATCTGCAAGGTGGGATGGATGCCTCGGCTCCCGCCTGCCTGGGGGAGTTAGGCCTTGCCAAGAGCTTGTGTTAATTCTTCCTTTGAAGCTGTGAGCTGGGGCTATCTCCTGAGCTGGGCTGTTGGGGCTTGGAGCGTCGTCTTCACACCCGCTGTGCCATTGGGGCCAACCGGGAGTCGGTGGCTGCGCCGTGGCCCTGTGGGAAATTTATCTTTTCTTTCTGTCCCAGTTGAATTTGGGATTTTGAATGTTTACTCGTTTGAGAACTTTCAAAATTGTCTGGGAGGAGGAGGAAGCAGGAGTCCCTGCCCGCAGGTGGTGGTAGGTCAGGGGTTGGAGCGCTCGGCTGTGGTACTGGTGGGTCAAGCCTGCCAGTTCGGGCAGGGCAGGCATGTGAGCCTCGGTGTCTTGCAGCACTGACCGGGGCGTTGGCGCTCTGCTGTCCCTCTTATGCCCCCTCTGTTCTGCAGAAATACCTCCCAGGAAAGCTTGCTTGGGGGTGAGGGGGGTGTTAGGCTGGTCTGTGGCTCAGCGGAACAGATCAGAGCTACGCGTAGGAAGACTCTGAAGGTTTGCCCTCTTCCCCACAGGCTGAGCTGATCAGCAAACAGGCTCAGGAGAAGTTTGATCTGAATGAAAACTGCGCAGAGCGCACCGGCCTCAAGGGTGCTGCGGGAGAGCAGCTGAGCTTCGCCGCTGGGCTGGTGTATTCCCTGAGCCTCCTGCAGGCTACGCTGCACAAATACGAACAGTGAGTA